CACAGAAAGACATTTTACAAACATGTGAAAACTAATATTACTGCAGATTTTTTTAGATTATTAAGTTTTTTTTTCCCCTGATTATTTAAAATTATTTCACCCTCATCTATTTCAACCATAATTGATTTTGGCTACTCACTTGATTTCAAAGCAGCCAACTGGTTCTCATACAAACACCTTTTTATCTTTGGAGTTCACTGAATAATAATTCATTAAACTATGTGATTACATCATCAAGTGCCATAACAGTGTGTTGGGTACAAACACACATGTCTCTTGGTAAGTATACAGTAACTGGGGGGAATAAAAGTTCAAGATCAAACTAAAGAATAGGCTACACTCAATGTAGCATGAGCATCAGTCAGCAAATTCTACAGAGAGAACGAAAACTATCATTTAATCTCACGAGTGGGTTAAGCAGAGGTCAGGTAAGAGATATTTTCCTGTAACAGGGTGTTCCTGAGAGTCTTTGCTTATCTACCCACCAATCCACCCTCTAAAATTCTTATCAGCAACTTCTGAAATGAAGGACAGAAGATTTACACAGTGCCTACTATGTGGCAGGCATCACATAGTCCTTGGCACTTTATATGAATTTCCTCCATTTTGATGAAGAACACAATGGCGGAGTAACAGGGTAACTCTCTTCCCTTTTTTTCCTAATGTAGCTATCAGCTAAAGAAAGTACTTCCAGGTAACACAAAGTGATCTAAATAAATGTAATAAATTTGAATACAACTTCAACCTCACATTACTACCTCACATTATTAAACTTTGCATTTAAGAAAAAGAGTATCATCAGATCTTATCTCATTCCATTGAAAAGTTATGAAAAATGTGGACATGACTTAGCCATGTGGACATAACTTACTCATAAATTTTCAATAAATTATAACTATGTAACATATCATTAGTAAACAAAGCAACCAAAAAAGTATGTCTTATCTCCCCAATACTTCAATTCATTGTTAAAAATGATTTCTTATAACTAAGATGATAAGCACCAAGTGGCAGGACAGAGTATAACCAATCACTATGGTCTAAGAACAAATCAATACATATTTTCCTTAGGTTTCACAATAGAAGGGAAGCCCAAACATTTATAGTTGCTAAATCTCAGCTTTCAGAGAGAGCTTAAAAAAAAGAAACAAAAAATGTCTAACAGCAGCCTCCACTATGTCGCTAAAAGTTATACATTTCTACATTTATCTCTCCTTCCATATTTCCTGAGCAGTTCAGATGCTCCTGAAAATCATTTCACATTAATAGAGAACGCACACTTGATTTCTATACATTAAGAATCCAAGCATAGTTCTGTCCTGCAGATCAGCAAAAGGTGATGCTCTGAGGTACCTTAAATTACTGGAACCATACTGTCTGCACCTACAGAATCCCACAATTAAAGACAGATACCTCAAAACTGCCACTTCTGAAGAAATTACATCATAAAGAACCAACACTCAGACACATACTATCAATTAATATCACTAATTGACAACTGCTTGAGAAAAGATCAGAAAAAGGATGGAGATGGAAAATAAGAAAAAATAGATCATTGGTGGATTAAGACTTTGAAGTCAGAAAAAAAAAACTGATTCAAACATTCACTCTGCTACTTCCAAGATATATCTTCAACACGTTATTTAAACTCCAGAAGACTGTTTCCTGCTCTCAAAAATGAGGTTACACCACCTAACTCATAGAGTTGTCTTAATAATATCATTTATGGCCTCTATCAAAGTATGCACTTAATAAATTATAGGAGGTATTATTGTTGTTACTGGGAGGTTGAAGGGAACACAAATTCAGTTATAAGTCCTTTTTGAATACTAAGAGGGAAATAATTAAGGAAGCTAAGAGGGAAATAATTAGGAGGAAAAAAACCCTTCAATTTTCCCTGTAACATGATTTTACATGCACTTATAAACTGATTTTTTTTTTCTAAGCACTCCTTTGATAATGATTAAGTGTGGGGTTACATTATTTTAGGGTCATCTAATATTTAAGATGACTTAAAAACTTCACACACATTTATCCGGAACTGTGAAAGTGTCTCATATTATCATCCCTCTGTTACTGTCAATTTTCTTCACGTACAGATTCCTTTATTATTACTTCATTAAAACCACTTTCTGTGAAAACATACACTCTTTACATTTCACTTCATCCACAGTAAATCTCACTATTAACAATAATGTAACTATTCAATGACCTATATTTTGTTAGTTAATACTTCAATGTTCCTTCTATTTAGTTTGATACATCCTTTTGGGAAGCCCTTTGGAACAAAACAACCACTTGTTCCATTCTGAAAAACATCTGAACCAATAAACTATACCAGAATAAGTCTACTCCCAGCATAGAGGGATTACAGGATGGATCAGAGGAAACACAGAGAAGTAACTGGAGAGCTTCTCTTCTTGAGTCACATTTTTACAGTCTGGATTGATTTCATGTATAACCAATTACTAGATTACCAGACACACTCATATTAAAATGCAAATAAATATAACGAAACTATGTATAGATTGTTTTGGATTATATACTTTTCTGCTTTCCTTCAGTAGTGCCAATGATAGAAAATTGACTATTTTGTTATAACTTGTTTCCTTAAACTTACTATCCTTATTTGCCTACCTACTGTAGCATAGGTTCCGTACATTTGGACCTTCATGCCTCCAACTGACTCATCTTTAAATACAAGTTGGACTTCCATGGCCTGATCTCCAGCTACTTTCATAGCTTCTCCCACAAAGACCTCCTGGCAAAACAGCCTTATGTCCAGTTCAACAAGCCCTGTAACACAATCACATGCCTTTGCTCAGGCTGTTCCCTTCACCCAGGAAACTACCCCCACCGTCACTCCCTCCGCCCCCATTTTGCCTATTAAACTATGTTAAGGCCCAGATGGAGTGTTACCAGCTCTACATTCATTCAAAATTTCCCAGTCAAAAATTAGTGTCTCACACACACCCCATGCGTCCAATACACCTCCAACAAAACCCACAGGAATCTGTGAATTACCTCTGTGTATGTCTGCTTCTCCCTTGAAGACAGTACTGAGTCTCATTCATCTTCATATTCTACCCACTGTTCCATCCTTGCCATACAGTAAAGGTGGTCCTGGTTGAATTAATTCCTTGATTCCACTAATCCTAGTCCTTTATTTTCAAGGAAGTAATAAATGCCTTTCACGTACAGAAGATTTTGTCAATATATTGTAAATGCTTGCAAAATCTAATGATGAAAATGTCAATAATTACATAATGCACTAATGTTTAAGCTGATGAATGGCAGAAGGGGTGGATGACTACAACAAATCATCAGTAAAGATAATCGTTTCTCAAGATCCCCCAAAAAATGTCATTCATAACATTAAAATTAACCTTTCTGTCTCCCATTCTAATAATTACTTCTACTTAATACATATTCAGAAATGCAAGTTCACATAAAGCAGAAGTGTCTGTACATTCTGCTAAGAATGTATCTCAAAGCCATACAATGTATTTGATAACATCTTTCTTCCAATGCCCATAAATGTAATTTTTATCTTTTATCTTCTGTGCAACTATAAAGGTTAACTATACAAAATAAGATAATTTTATCTTAAGATACAACTGGAGCAAAGTTTGTAAATAATTACAAAATACACTAAGTACATCTCCAAAAAAAAAAAAAAGAAAGAAAGCTATTAAGAATGTCACACACCAGATCTGATTTTTTTGACGAAAAATGATTTCTAGTTTCACACCTTTCTAATTCCACATTATTCTCACAATTCCTGTAATGTTTTTCTTCTAAATGTATGGGGAAAGCCAATATTCCTCGAAGAAACATCTTTAAAAAGAAACATCTTTAAAATGTATACAGTTTTAATTTTATATCCCATCTTAGATATAGTTTGCTATCTCTTATATCTGTGGGCAAATGTCATTTGAATCGGAAGAATTACAAAAGTTAAAATAATGACTTACTTTCTTAATTCATTAAAAATAAGTACTTACATAATTCTCTAATTTAAAGTAGATATTTTAGCAGAAGATTTAAAAGGGGCCACTGAGCAGCCTGGGTGATTACCACAAAAGAGTTAAAAGTAATTCACACAGTGTATCAACAGTAGCTGTCTCCCACACACACAGGCACACTCTCTCTCTGCCCCATCTGAACTTTTCCTCCCTGAAACATGAGGTGGGAGAAGGGGAATGACCATGACACAGGCCTAACTACCCCCACCCCACGAATAGACACACATTTCCCTCCTCATCCTGCTGAAAAGAAATGTGGAGGCTATGGACCAAGAGACCCGACGCCTCTCAGAGTCACTTCCCCTGCATGTGGGATAAACAAACAAACCGGCATCATGAGAGTAACCATCAGAGTAATTATGTTAACCTTTGACTAATGTCTTAGTTAAGTTTTGAGCTGAGTCAAAGCTCTAAGAAACAGGTAAATCCCTGTGTCCCCCCACAAAACCCCTTAAACACTCCAACGGGAAGTTTATCCCTGAACTGAACGCTGGCCCCTGTCGCCTCCTCCCAGCCGATACATGCCTCCTTCCTGCCCAAAGCCCCTACTCCAAAGGTAATTGTCGGGACACAGTCAAGGAGCACCGTGGGCGACACTCCCCACCTCCCAATCTCTTCTAAGGAAGCCCCTGCCGGGCCAGCTGGCCCACCTCCCTCGCCGCCCCAGTCGCGCCGCACCACTCCGGCAACTTTTGCACCCAGCCCGGCCCGCCACCCGCGGCCCCCGCTGCCCCCTAGCCCTCCGCGCCCTCAGCCTCCGACCGCGGCCCGCTCCGGCCCACGCCTCCTGGCCGCCCGCCCCGGTCTTCGCCCACCCCTCCCCCGACACCCGCGCCGGCGGCGCCGCCCCCGCCGCACCCCACCCCACCCCGCCCGAGACCCCAGCCCCATCCGGGAGGGAGGGCGCTGCGGCCGCGCCGAGGCAGCCACCGGGCCGGGGCTGGCGGCCGAGCACCAACGCGCAGGGGGCTTTACCTCAGAGGCGCGGCCGCGAGCAGCGGGGTCGGTCCCGGGCGCGGGCGGCGCCCCCAGTCAGTCAGTCAGCGCCGGCGGGGGCAGCGACGACGGCACATCACACCCGCCGGCGGCCGGAGGAGGAAAGCGAGCACGCAGGGAGCGAGCGAGCGAGGTAGGGGGGAAGGAGCGAGCGAGGTAACGCAGCGCTGCTCGGATTCGGTCCTTGCACTGCCGCTGGTGTCTTCTACCGCCGCCGCTGGCCGGAGAGTCGCCGCCCGAGCTTCTGCTGTCGCCACCGATGCAGCTGGGAATGAATGCACAGCGGCGCCTCGCTTATCCGGAGGTCAAACATCCTTCTGCCTCGGGCATCCGGATCGACGCCGGACCCGGAAGTGAACACATGGAAAAAAAATTAAAAAGGAAAGCGTCTCTCTAGCTGCCGCGGCCCCCAAGCTGCCCGCATCAGCGAAAAGAGCCGAGTAGAGCCGAAGATTGCACCAGCCTTCTTGGATTGGTCGGATTGCCGACCGGAAAGGAGACGGCGCGGTCATTGGCTGGCAAAGTATATAAAGCCTACGCCGCGCCCTGTCCTCGTCTTCCTAGAGCCGTGCGTGAGGGAAAGTGAGGAGCGGTGGTGGATACGAGTGTTTCTCTGGATGAGGCAGTGGGCGGAGAGGCATAGCAAAGTCTACGCAGAGAACTGGAAGAAAACACCCCCGTGCTTTAGGAGAGCTACTAAGAATTGAGTGAGCAAAGAGCCTTAAGGGTGCCATTGTGCCAAGTCAGGGTGCTGAGGCTTTCCCTATTGTGCTCAGCCCGCCAGGTTCCAAAAAATCTTAGGGCCCGGCCTAGGAGTATGACATCACTGGGTTGACATTTTCCCCAACTTCTCTATAACCCCAGTGCTATATCAGGGCTCCAACTGCTTAGAAATATGAATTATGTCTCACATTTGCATCTCATTTGCTGTTTGTAAGCTGAGGTAATCCTCTGAATTATATAGTGTGGTATTATCTGTTTTTCAAATTCATCTCCCAAAGTTCTGAGAAGCCAAACATCACCCAAGTCATCAAGTTGTAGTGCACAGACTGAAATCAGTGTTTCTGACCCATACTCAAGTCCACTCTGCCTACATAGAAAGAATATGACATTTCTTTCATTTTCCCTCTTGCAGTTGGTTCCCTGGGATGAAGATAAGTCATTTTGGTAGACTTCTACGGAAATTGATCCACCACGAAGGCATTGAAACTATAATTTTTTAAAATTGTGATTCATATGTCTCAAGTCCTTTCAAAAAGTTAGGCATGAAGGTGTGCAGGAAGAAGAATCATAGCCTGGTGCCATGTTTTTAAAATGTTCATTTTATCAAACACGTTTATATTCTTGATGTACTTACTGTATCAAGAAACTTGAGTCTTGTGTATAGCTCTCCTGTCCACCTCTCAAAACGAAATGCCTCTAATGAAACAAATGCACTCCTTCATTTTCCTGCCTACTTTGCCAGATTAATGGTATAGCTAATGCGTTACCTTTGGAGGGGTAGTTAGTATGGAAATCTGTGTTTGATTTTGGTTTGTAATACAACAGTGCCTTTTTTTTTTTTTTTTTTTTTTTTTTTTTTT